AAGGGACTGTAATCGGTGAGTGATAGAGGTCGAAGAGACTGTAGTTGAGAGATAATGGTTGGGGGAACCATAGTCAGTGAGGATGGTCTGTTGCACTATAGTAGTCAAGGGATGGAGGTGAGGGGACCGTAGTCAGTAGAAAGAGGTTGGAGAAAAGATTTGATGGTGGTGCTGGATAGAGGTTCAATGTTGAGGGTTGGGTGGAGGTTCAGCTGTCATATCCTGGCTATTGTTTGACAGCAGGTGGACGGGTGCATGTTTGGCAACGACCGGCTAATGAAAGTCTGGTGGCGATGTTTGGTTAGTGAGATTTCACTAGTGGTGGTATCTGGATGGAACTATGATATTCTTTAAGCTTTAGAATTCTCTTGATCTCTAGCCTTATATAATTTCACTGGAGAGACATTTAAGTTTAATAGGAGAATTCCAAACCTTTGTCATCTATTTGGAACCTCCAATTATCCATATATATTGTTTTACCAATCTAGACTTCTCTTTCACTTTTTCGACCACCTGACTTCTTTACTATTAGGAGAAGTGTTATGTCAATTATCTTTTGATGCAGCCGCCAATTAATGTCGATGTCTATCATCCCTTTGTGTTTACACTTTTGTTCATCGCCATCTCTCTATGAATATCTACTCTCTATCATCAACCAATGAAGCTATCATTGACTACCACTGCTAGAGATACCTCCATATAGCCCAAAATTTTACATTATAAAATTCCTTTATCTAATCATGAAAAAAGTATATCATTTTAATTTAATCAATTACTCTTATCAATGAAATAATTTTCAACTGAGTTAAGCCCTATGATATATTTTTCTTTATGAGCTTTTCACATAAAATCATATACCTCAATTAGCACATTTCTCTCTATTCTATTTGTTTGAGGAAAATTCTTGCAAGCCAAGGTATAAACTAAAATCTCCAGTGTTAAACTACTTTTCCAAATCTTGAGCGAGTCCCTCAAATGAATTGCTCCGGTCATGGTTTAAAATTGCGCAATATGAGGCTCGTCTTGGGGCCCACCTTTGCGCAATTTCAGTAAAAACCGCCTCGATGCTTACGCCTTGAGTTTTTTTATGGGCTTGCGCCTCAACTTGGTTGAGGCCTGCCTCGCCTAATTGGCACGAGGCTTACGCCTCACGCTATATATATTAAAATTTACATAAATCTTTAAGTAAATGCCTGACATTGGACTCTATAGGAGAAGAGGAAGGGGAGAGGGCAATTCACCATAATGATGATTCAAATGAAGAACCCCTTAGTGATGACAATGTTGATGACTTATGAGTTCTTATGTGATATGTCATTGCTATTTATTTTTGGAAATTGGAATTATATGTTAATGAAAAGAATATTGGGATTTGGGAAATATAGAATTTTGAGTTAACCTATATTTCAAGTTGTCTTATTATTAAGATATTTTGATTTCACTTCATATCTTATGTTTTTTTTTTATGTTTTATATTATTCACTCATTAGTACATAAAAAATTTATCATTTTTATGTTTGCGCAATCTTTTAATTTTGAGGCTTACGCCTCAAAATGCCTTGAGGATTATGCCTCGCCTCACAAATGAAAAACGCCTCAATACCCGAATACGCAATTTTAAACATTGGCTCCGAGGGAGGAGGTCCTTGTGCTCGACCTGAACATAATCAGCAAGATATCTGTGAATGAGTACCCGCACAGCAATTAATTATCCAAGCTTGTAGAGGATAAATTAACTAATGGACACCTACCATATTCTTTGATGGTGCTTGGAACCCACATAGTCCTCCTCCTGCAAAACCAACTTTAGTGATAAAAAAAACTCACACCTGAATTTATAGCAGAAAGGGGAAAGGACTTTGCTACAAATTCAACGAGTATTTAATCTAAACCATCTTTGAAGGAAGAAATGCTTGCCTTTCTCATATAGTGATCACCCTACACAAATTTTTCTTAACAATCAATATGGAAAACTACAAGAAAAAAATAGACGTCGGTAGCACTCAATTGAGGCCTTCGTGGCCGCTTCATTCATCATAAATGGATTTGCAGTGGTTTAAAAATCGCTGCAAGACCTTCGTAGTTAATGTCCGCTGCAAAGTTTTTTCACAACAGTTTTGCAACCGCTGGGAAATTTTTTGAAGCGATTATATTAGCAACAGTTTAAACCACTGCTATATATCGATTAGCGGTGGTTATAAGCACCACGATTATTCCAAAAAACTGTGATTTAAACCGCGAACTGCCACTGTTGTTCTAGATTAGCAACGGTTTAAACTGAGGCTAAATTTTCAGATTTTTTTTGCTATTGTTCAAAAAAGTGTTATCCAGTGGCACAGCCTACCATTTCACAATGCAGCAAGGATTGGTGACAAAGAATTCACCTCTCTATCTCCTCACCTGCTCTTATGGAATTCCTGGCAAGATTGAAGTTCCTGCTTTATATAGAGTTGCCGACAAACTCAAAGCCATTGCTTATTACTTAGATTACTTCGTGGCCATAACAATGACACCATCTTAGTCGTAGAAATTAAGAAAAAATAGCACTTACGCCGTCATTTTTTTTGAAAAATTATTTTGTGCGAACGTCGAACACCATCCAATTATCCTATGTTCGGTACCGCGGCTCAGCATCACTGACCTGATGCATTTTGGTTGGTCTTCGGGTGGCGTTCTTCGTCCGGTCTTCGCATAGAATAATTTTAAAGGGACGGTTAGACAAATTAAGGCAAACAGATTAAGATGAAATACGTACTTACCTTTTTTTTACGTACTTACCTTGTCATTTATATCTTATAAGAAAAAGAAATTGTTTCCATGTTGGTTATGATTTTCTTAAAAAATATATCTAAAGACCGACATAGAACAAGAAGAAAAGAGGTTTAAGATTCAATGATTTGAACGGGTGAAGCCAGATGATATAATAAATATTAAAATTATTCAATTATAATATAAAATATATGATAAATAAAATTTTTAAAAGTTAATATATACAACAAATCATGCATATTATGTGAGATGACATGCATATATTATGGTTGAACTTATCTTCGTATCTATTAAAAATATTTTTAAAATTTTAAATTGATTTAATAAACTAAAACCATTAAAACATATATATCATTTAAAATTTATTTAAAATAAAATGAAGTATTTTATAGAAACGACCAGTTCTATCAAATTGGAACCTGTTCGACGGTTTTACGATCCGTTCAATGCAACACAATTTCCGATTTTGACCGGATTGTTAACTTGGCCTGTTCACAATCAAACCGATTGACATGGCTGGTCCGATTCGATTTTCAAAATATTGCTTCTAACTACTCTAAAATTCCTACAAGAATTACTGAACCTTTAGAATTCTTATATTTATAAGCTAGCAAAGAAACCTAGAGAACTCTCCTTCCATTAGCCTTCAATTCAGCAATTCTTCTGTGCAGAACTAGCTCGGTGCCAGAAGAGGATCTCATTATTGTTCTTATCCTCATCACAAGCGGGCTGAAGCAAATGCAACTGCTGGTCAATAGAAGCGGGAACAAGATGAGGGTAACTAAAGAGGATCTCAAAGAGAAACTGCCCAACCGGAGACTCCAGCTGCAAAGGGGCAATAGAAGCTGAATATTCAGCTAACGACTCCGATTCAAGTGCAGATGATGATGCCCTGATGTGCCTTCTATCGCGAGTGTCGTGGACGCCGTTGCGGCTGTTCGTGCGGACTGGACAAGCAATGACACGAGCTCCGATCGACGGTACACGTCGATCGCGAGGAGTTGTTGGCGGATGGATGTGTAGGTTCACCTGTATGGTTGCCGGCTGGTAGAGGCTTCGAACGTCGTCGACAGCCTAGCTTCATACATGGCTTTCCCCAAGCATCCAAAATCCCGATCGACGTCAAAGGTTGATATAGCAGCAGCCCAGGGACCTGATCGACGTCAAGGGTCATACATCGCTCTGATACCATCTAATGTGGGGAGATTCACCAAAGAAGCATGATGAAGAAAACTACAAGAGCTAACCAGCTCAAACACCCAAAAACTGTAACAATACTGTTTCAATTCCAAAAAATACTAATTTATATTACTTCCCTCTTATAACTCCTATATTTGTAAGCTAGCAAAGAAACCTAGAGAAATAAAGAACATTCTAGAATCCTATAACAAACTTGTAACAAACCAATAATATATGCCTAAGGAGCAATTTTAATAATGATGCTCTGCATTGTAATCACAACTATTTACTCAAAACTATTAGTATGATCACAACCGTCAATGAACTGGAACAAAAAAGCTACAACAATTTCTGGCAAAGTGCATCTAACGGAGGTAAAAAAATCCCAAGTCCAACTATAAGCTGAACTAAAACACTAAAGAGGATAATTATTTATGAAACTAAATCCTATGGTACATAGTCATTTTATGATATTTTCAATATGTTTATCTTTCTTTCATAAAACATTTTACAATTTGTTGTGTTTAGAAATATGATGCAGACATGACCCAAAAAGTTTCGGGTTAGGGTCAAGTTGTTTGCAAGACGACTTAAGTTCAGGTTGTATTTTCAAACCAATTTTTAAAATTGGGCTGGATTTGGGTTGATGCAAAAACCTAAAATCAACCCAATCCGCACAGTGCGCAATCCGTAGTCCACAGTCGTGGGTTCCCATTTGCAATCAGGCCCCCGACTGCACAAGCTGCATCGAGTGGCCATATGCCCTCCCGTGCTGGTAAGCTCGCGTCTGCACCAGGGTCCCAAACCGGGCTCGCTCCCACACTCGGGCTCACTCCCGCTCCCACTGCTCGCATCCGTGGTATGCACCCAAACTCCTAGACCCGTTGTTGGCGCCCGCACAGCCGTGTCACCACTTACGCACCCACAATCACGTAGCGTGACGCTCGCCCGCACTCGTGCAAGCCACGCTCAACTTGATTCGGCGCCTTAGAGGTTTTCTGTGTTAGCGAGCGTATCTGATCAACCCGATAACCTTGTAGGTCAAATCAGCTTCAAGCCTTCTTTTTTCGTCTTTCTTTCTCATGTGAGTCCATTGGTAGATCACTCGGATCTATAAATTTTATCATTTTTTGCTTCTTTGCATGTTCTATTCGTTGATATCCTTCAATAAGTTTTCTCTTTGTATTCTCTAGCTTGGACATATCTGAAATCTCATTGGACTGCTCTGAATTCTTTTGTGGACTATTTGAAGCCTTTCCTCTCATTTCAGAGAAATGGCTGCTTGGATTTTGTTTAGAACTTAGTTTTGATGAGTAGCCATTTCCAAAATCAATTGTAGATACTTCTTTTACCTGGTTAGCAGCATCAGATTTAACCCATTCATCTACAAACTCTTTCCAGCCATTAACGAGAGATTGAGCAAGCTTTTGAATATGTTTGGAGTTGCGTTTTCTCAGAGCATTTACAGGTCTTCCAATTTCAGTCGCCTTCAGCGTTTCTATAGATAAATGCATAAGTTGCAGAGTTTTCAGAGAATCATACAAGATTTAATAAGACTCGTTTTGATTGTTGAAAAGGATCTATTTTATCCTCATCACCTCTCCAATTATCTGTCTCTCCAGATGGTTGTTAGCAGCAGTAGATTTAACTGATTCATCTACCAACTCTTTCCATCCATTAACGAGAGATTGAGCAAGCTTTTGAATATGCTTGGTGTTGTGTTTTCTCAGAGCATTTACTGGTCTTCCAATTTCAGTCGCCTTCAGCTTTTCTACAGACAAATGCAGAAGTTGCAGAGTTTTCAGAGAATCATACAAGACTGAATTAAACACATTTTGATTGTTGAAAGGGATCTATTTTATCCTCATCACCTCTCCAACTATCAGACTCTCCTCCTTCGGATTAGTATTGCCATTGTTGTGGGAAAGTTGAGGATTTCGTTGCTTTTCAAGAATCATATCCTTTATGTCGTTAAATTCATTCGAGTAATCCACTACTGCTACGAGAATCGCTTTGTCGATCAACTCAAGAATATCAACTTTTGCGCAACTGAAAAATTTCCTCCAGTAATCTAATGAACTTTTCATGTTCGCCATTGCCTCTCTGCAGATAGTTTTCCATTCCAAAACTGAATAATTTGACGACAATTTGATATTTTCAATATGAAATATATACCAAATTATTCTAAATTTATACGTAGAATTCGGTGAAATGAACGAATCAGTATTGCCTGTACCATTTTTCTTCGAAGTTACATAACGAATTTCCCTAAAAAAGGTTGCTTAGGATGTACTGTAACTCCTAAAATAATATTGTTACGCAATTACGTTATTCGTAAACTTCAAAGGATTGATTAGCCGTTAATAATGTAGCATAATCCTCGGCAATGATGACGATGTTGTTCTTTCCGCCACGGAAAACTGTGGCTTGAGCGTATACAGGGGATGAAAATGACAAGGAAGAGAATGAGGGAGAGGGGGAGGTAATATTCACTCTAAAAATATGTTTGTTAAAAAATAATTAAACACAAATTGTACATGATACTCAAATTTGTTCTATGGGTGGTAGGCATGTAATATTAATATTTCGGATATTAGATTTGTAAATAACATAAAATAAAGTGGTATGAGATTTACATACATACCACTTTATTTCATGTTATTTACATATCTAACACCCAAAATATTAATATTACATGCCTACTATCCATATACAACTTTAATATCAATTATACCACTCTTATAATTTATTTCTACCATTCATATCATCTTATAAACTTTAATATTTCACTCAATGCACTCAAATTTGTTCTATGGGTGGTAGGCATGCAATATTAATATTTCGGATGTTAGATATGTAAATAATATAAAATAAAGTGCTATGTATGTAAATCTCCTATTAAGGTATCAAAAAGATCCAGTTAACCGCCTATACAAGACAGAATCAACAAGAATGTTGTCCTTTGGAAATTGAGTTAACAATTTTGTGCATTGAGGATTTAACAATGGGTTACAATTAGTCATATATGCTTGATGTAGAATTGAGTTAGCATATAATGTCTTAGATAATAAATAGCTATCATTTTGATGAGTAATTTGAATGCCAAGAAAAGAAGGATCATGTCCAAGATTTTTCATAGCAAAGGTGCTATTGAGCTATTTTAATAGATTAGTTATAGCATCAAGTTTGTTATCTGTGATCAGTATATCGTCGATGTACATTAGTAGGAATATGTTTGTATATGACTGGTTTTTTATTAGCAAAGATGGGTATAATTTGTTGTGAAAGAAATCAAGGGAGAGAAGATAAGACATGAAGGTGTTATACCATTATTGTGGTGCCTGTTTGAGTCCATAGATGACTTTCTTTAGGAGACAAACATGTTTAGGATTTGAAGGATCTTCAAAACCCTTTGGTTGAGTCATGTAGACAACTTCAGATAATTTATCGTGAAGGAAGGCATTTGCAACGTCCAATTGTTGAACCGGGTAGTTGTTATGAAGTGCCACCGGGTAGTTGTGATCTATTTTTCCACAATTGAAACAAAAAGAGGATATTTTTTTCATATTCAATTTTATGAAAAAATTTTCCATATAACCCTTCAATCCAAACTCCATGAGCTAACTTAGAGTCTAGATTAATTCGTACACATGCTTTAGCAAATTCACACCTTCCCCATTTAAATATTTTCCCATCCAACAACAAAGGAACTCCTATCTTTGAGACAATTTTGATGATATTAGTCTCTTCTCAACAATGTAGAGGCAAATGAGGTAAGCGAATCCAAATCGATGATGATATCCCTTTCAACGAAGAAGGGGAAAATTGAGGTGTCCATTTATCCATTCCTATTTTGTGCCCTCCCACATATACCATGGACCCCCACTCAACACTTCTTCTATAATACGAGGAGAATGAAATGAACAAAAAAATCCATTCAAGTCCCAATGAGGTAATATGAAGGAATTTAACATTTTCAGCAACCTTAGCAACCTTATTCATGTCAAGTTTAACTACATCCGAATCAGCATTTTCTTCCAAATTAGGATGAATTGAATTAGCAGTTATATGCATTCTTAGACCAAACATTTACCGAATTTAAATTTTCATTATTCGGTAAGATATCCTGATCAACTGCTATTTGATTTTCAACACAAGAAATCAATCCTTCATCTTCCTTAGATTTCATCTAATTCAAATAAAAAAACTCATGTTTTTCCACCTTAACACAGGGTAAGTTTAAAAATTTGTTTACCTTCAACTTACAACTAATGGAAGATGATGCCTCCGAATCATTTGCCGCAGCAGCCAACCAATTCTTCAATGGGGAGGAAGGAATCGTCGAAATCTTCTTTCCCAAACTTTCTAAAGGTTCTTTTCCTTTGCCCAGCACCGAAACCACATTGTGGTTTGGAAGAAACCGACCTTCGGTGTACCAAAGGTCCTTGTTTGATCACAAATTCCTGGTTCCTAGAATTTCTACCTTTGGATCCACCATGATTAGAATCATAGGGAAACCTGGTAAAACGGAGATTTGAGGTATTCCGGTCATCAGGGGATGATGACTGGCGACCCTCCGCCACCATACAGGCGGAACCAGAAGATTAGGATCTGAAATTTTTTGAAAAAAGGTGTTTTAATTACCTAGCTCTCAAAAAATTAAAAGCATTCCAAGTGATTGTACTTTCAAGAGGATGTACCTTCTTGAATATCATGTCTAGAGGAAATGGAAACACAACAGATATGGTCTCATATCTTGTTTTTCTTCTATTTTAAACATTATGTGTTCTTGCTGCAAAAATCATAATTCCAATATATCATTAGTAACTTATTCCTTTTCTTTAATGCCAGCAATACAACTTCTATTGGCTAATACTTCTCATTACTAATTTCTGTTGTGTGTTGATGGTTCCTCTATTATTGTTTTTATTTATTTTTATTTTTTTAATTTATGCTGAAAAAATTAGATACATGTCGAGTTGATGCATTATATGATAAATTAGTTCATAGATTTCTTGTTTTTGAGTAGAAGGTGCATTTTGAGACGACTTTATCTGATTTTAATAACCTTCTAAAATGGCTTCTAGCTGTTTGTGCATCTTTTTCAATTTAGTGGCTGCCTACTTGATGGATTTGTCCTTTTGAGATAGCTATGATGAGTCCTATGGGGTTTCTCTTGGATTACTCCTCTTCTGCTATTATTTTCTACATATATGATTGGGTATTAAGTATTCTTCGCACTTGAGATACCCTACTTTATGGGTAGAGTGTTCTTTTTAATTTTTAATGACAGATTATTTGTCTCACGTTTACTTTGAGTCTTTGGTTTTTTAGTAACCTTTAACTTTTTTAATATTTGATTTGAATCTTTTTTTTTTCTTTGGTTTTAATGTTTTAAATTTTTTCTTCTTCTCAAAAACAATTTATATAGCACAATGTTTCACAACAAATCAAACAAATTTTCTACAAGTAATATTATAAAAAATTAAAACTGCTAATGCAGGTCTTAAGCACGGATGAAAAGAGTTGAGTTTTTTTTTTATTATTATTAATGTGTGGTTTATTTTTTAATTTTTTTGCTTATAGTTTTTGTTGGTGATAGGTGACAGTTAAATGCAGACCATTGACTGAAGCAGATTGATGAAAATTTTCATTGATTTTATGCAGTTTAAGATAGAATGTGATTATTGTTTCTTCTTTTTGATACATATTTTTCCAAAGATTACCTTGACAGAATTCAAAACAAAAAAATAAAGAAAGATAATGTTTTGACCATGTTTTTGGGCCTGAATATACAAATTGTGTATGCCGATTCATGTACTTAGTTGATTTTATTTTCATTATATTTTATGTACATGATTTCTATTTTCAATATATTTATATAACGTCAACATTTTGTTTCTTATTATTTATTTATTTTTGCATTTTTTCATGTATACTTTTTTCTCGTAATAAAGAAATAAATCTTGGTAGATCATCTTCTGCTACTTAATAATATTGTTGTATGTGAGAAATTAAGTTGGTAAAATAATTATCGATCTCGATTGTCTTAGGGTCGAGAAATCGTCATTGAATATTCTTATTTTAAAATTTTATTCATATGCACCATATTGACATGCATTTAGGTAGTAGATTTTGAATTTTCTTTATGTTGAATATAATGATTTACTTAGCTTCTTTCATGTTTTGGAAGTAAACTATAATAATCATTTTTATATGAATTACTGGCCGAGAAAGTAATAATTTTTCACCCCTTTCGCATGCTGCATCATAGATAGCTTGGAATTCTCTTCTCATGCAACCAATGTAGTGCCACCCATCAAATGCTTGTTATTATTTATGATGCACTAGTAGGAAGATTGTTCATTCAATAATGGAGAATGCTAATCACATGACACCGAAGTGTGCATTCTATGATAAAAAATTATTTAAAATTTTGCTATATGCTATATGTAATTCAATTTATCTTAATTCAAATATAATACTAGTATAAATCACCTATTTTGATAAAAATATTATATTTAATATTGATATATAATTTAATATCTTTGATGTAGCATATCATATATGGCTTTTTTATTTATTTATTTTATTTTTTATTCAAGTGTATCACGTGCAAATGCATTTCTACTGGTATATAAAAGGACCACAAATGATACATAAATAAAATTGAGTACATACAAAGTGGTTCATGCTGAGATTACATTCTTCACAATTCATATATATCAAACAAATAAGATAAGAAGAAAGAAAGAAGTTTGCTTATGTATTTTGAGATAAGCATATTTCTCAAAAAAAAAAAAAAAAAAAAAAAAACATGCTTTTCATTTCAAATCAGTATTATAAAATTGAGTACATACAAAGTGGTTCATGTGAGATTACATTCTTCATATTTCATATATATCAAACAAATAAGATAAGAAGAAAGAAGTTTGCTTATATTTTGAAATGAAAGAAATTTTCATTAACAAATAAAGATATCAGGAATGTGAACAATCTTGTGCCGATCAGAGCCTCCGTCCTCTCCATAGCGCTCCTTTAACTCTGGATGACATCTCTCAATTTGTAGACATTCCAAAGAGGGAGGAAGGTTCGGTAATTCCCGAAGCATAGGAACGCCATGGATATATAGAAACTGAAGTGAAGATAAGCTTTCGAAGGTGGAAGGGAGAGACTGTAAGGATTTCAGCCTAAAAAATTGTAGATCAGAAAGAGAAGACCTAACAGTCAGAAACCACTGCTCCACCTCATTTGGAAATGAATCCACCTCATCATTATACGTAATCCAGAGCTGTTTTAAGTAGGCGATACTTCTCAGTGGCTCCATTAGCAACAAAGATGAATCACTTATATAAAGATCGTTGAGCATGAGATGGCAATTATTAGTGGTCTCCACTTCTCGATATCTTCCCAGAGAGATCAGATTAGGGCAATCTCTAATTCTCAAGGATCTTAGTGCTGCAAGCCTTGCTATTTCATCAGCCAGAGGAATAGATGTAATGTTTGGACAGTTACAGACCCATAATGTTTCAAGGGGAATAGGATTTGAATTGCTACAGAAATTCAAAGTCTCCCACCCAGTTCCTTCTATATACAACCTCTTGAGCTTAGGAGGCAAAGAGGGCAACTCTTTCAACTTCGGGCAGTTTTCGAGCTCCAGTTGAATTAAGCAAGGAAACAAACATCCATCTTCAGCAGCTACTCCTGCCTCAAACCAATCCTCTAATGCTTCTAATTTTTGAATACGTAAAACCTCCAGCAATGGAAAGGCACGGTATTTATCATTCCCATTAAATTTACTTTCGAGACATTTTACTTTCGGCA